TCATATAAAATACTTTTTGGATCTTTACTTAGCTCTTTATTGTAAAATTAGGGCAGTTAGAAAACATTTTTAGAATAATTTTTTTACAAAGATTTCTGTGAAAATGTAATTTTTTTCTGTAATTTTTGGTCAAAAACCACAAACTATTGACAAAAACTTTTGTACAATTATTTTCAAAAATGTTATCTTTTCTTGCATATTTCTCCAAAAAATAGAGCATTTCGATAAAATCTTTATAAATATTTTTGTATAAAAGTTTTTGTGAAAATGAGAATTTTTGTGTCAATTTTGGTCAAAACTAATACATTTTGATGAAAAAGTTTTGTAAAATTATTTTTAAAAATGTCATCTTTATTTGGATCTTTCTTGTAAAATTAGGACCATTAGAAAACATTTTTTGAAATATTTTTGTATAAAGTTTTCTGATAAAATCTGAACCTTTTGTTTCAATTTTGGTAAAAAACTAATCAATTTTCATGAAAAAGTTTTGTAAAATTATTTTTTAAAATGTCATCTTTATTTGGATCTTTCTTGTGAAATTAGGACAATTAGAAAACATTTTTTAAAATATTTTTGTATAAAGGTTTCTGTCAAAATTTGAACTTTTAGTATTATTTTTGGTCAAAAACTAAAACTGTTGATGACAATTTTTGATAAATTATTTTTAAAAATGTCATCTTTTCATGCATGTTTCTCATAAAATTAGGACATTTAGAAAATATTTCTAGAAATATGTTTGTATAAACATTTTTGCCAAAATGTGAATTTTTTATGTAATTTCTGGTCAAAAACTAAACAATTTTGATGAAAAAGTTTTGTAAAATTATTTTTTAAAATGTCATCTTTATTTGGATCTTTCATGTGAAATTAGGACAATTAGAAAACATTTTTTAAAATATTTTTGTATAAAGTTTTCTGTCAAAATCTGAACTTTTTATGTCAATTTTGGTCAAAAACTACAAAAATTGATGAAAACTTTGGTAAAATTATTTTTCCAAATTTTATCTTTTGCTGCATGTTTCTCATAAAATTAGGGCATTTAGAGATCATTTTTAGAATTATTTTTAAATAACATTTTCTGTCAAAATGTGAACTTTTCTAGAAATATGTTTGTATAAACATTTTTGCCAAAATGTGAATTTTTTATGTAATTTCTGGTCAAAAACTAAACAATTTTGATGAAAAAGTTTTGTAAAATTATTTTTAAAAATGTCATCTTTATTTGGATCTTTCATGTGAAATTAGGACAATTAGAAAACATTTTTTAAAATATTTTTGTATAAAGTTTTCTGTCAAAATCTGAACTTTTTATGTCAATTTTGGTCAAAAACTACAAAAATTGATGAAAACTTTGGTAAAATTATTTTTCCAAATTTTATCTTTTGCTGCATGTTTCTCATAAAATTAGGGCATTTAGAGATCATTTTTAGAATTATTTTTAAATAACATTTTCTGTCAAAATGTGAACTTTTCCTGTCATTTTTGTTCAAAATCTAAAACAAATTGACAAAAAGTCAAAGAGAGAGGGAGAGAGAAGAGAGAGAGGGAGAGAGAGAGAAGAGAGAGGGGGAGAGAGAGAGAGAGAGAGAGAGAAGAACACATTTCTGAAAATAAAAGTTTCTCAAAAATGATTAAAAATAGACTCATTTGCCAGAAAATACTTAGCTATGTCCATTTTTGATGTTAAAATTCAGAAAAAAATGTACATCTACGTGTGTGTCTGTTGTGTGTGTGTCTATGTATTGTCTGTGTGTCTGTCTGTGTGTGTCTACACGACCTAAACAACATGCTAAATAAGGTTTTTCTGCAAAATTCAGAAAAAAATTATCAAAATGCTTTAATTTGATGAGAAATGCAAATATCTGACTAGAAATGTTCACATTTTATAAATAGCAGATTTTTTTACATGGTAGAAAACAACAGGATGGCCTGTGGGAGAAGTGTATTCCATGGTCAGGAGGCTGCAGCAGCACTAAGACAGACTGGGAGTTGCTGAAAGGGGAGATAGATTGAATTGGCCTAAGTCACCCTTCATATACCAACCAGTGAACTGGGAGTAATGGGTGAGAAATAGAAAAAAGGGAGGCGGAATGAGAGAGTTGTAGAGAAGGCAGGGTTGCAGAAAGTCACCTTAATTTTCTGACTAGTGAGCTGGGAATAATGGAAGGAAGGAGAGAGGCACCTCTGCAGGGTGATGGTTTGAGAGAGGTTGGATGGACTTAGAGGTGAGGGCAGGATGATGGAGAGCTGGCTGTACACGACTGCCTCACACCAGGGGTGGTTTCCCACACTTCTATGATCACTGCAGCCCTTTCACTCTAAACCGCCATATACCTGCCTGGAAGGGTGAAAATATATATAAAATCTGTCCACATGGCCAGATAAAATGACCCGTGTTTGTCAGTGTTACAGGGCATGTAAGGTTATGGGATTGTATAATCAATAAAAATGAACCTGCTGTTCTTGAGATTTGAACCCATATCTATCCCCTAGTCACCACAGCTTAAAAGACTTATCTTCCAGAAACTATTACTGTCAACAGAGCAATTTTAAAGATGAATCTCACACCATCAGCTGTGCTGGTGAAATGTCAGGCATGTTTGAATAACACAACCAGAGGGAAACAAATGGTTAAGAGTCCGTGCACCATACTGTATACTGTATGGTATAGCTCCTGTGACATTCTGGGAATTCTGGGTTTCTATCATTAACAATGGCTGCACACACAACTCACTTATCCTGGCCGTATAAAACAAACACTTCCAGCCTAAAGTAATGGTTTAGCCTGGCTAATGGAGCCAGTCTGTTCCACATCACTACAGGCTTTTAATCAAGAGTTTTTGGCATCTTTTAAAGTATAGCATGCCGGCTTTTCATTAAACAGTAAACCAATGGGAATGGACACAGGAGGTGGCAACAAGTCATCTGAAATGCCCTCTACTGTAAATACTTTGGAAAAAGGAGGCAGTTATGCAAAGGGGGGAGGGGTACGATCAGCTTAATCTTTTTAATAATTTGTTAAACTCTGATTCGAACAATTAAGACTGGTTATCAGAGATCTGGCCACCAGTCAGTCTTGTTTCACAAGAGACACTACTGTTTATGTAAGCAGACTTCCTGATCATGTTATTGTCTTAATTTTGTCCTATATATTTTGGATGCATAGATGGATGCATGGATAGATGGATGAAAGCAGTCCTGCTCTGAATCTGGTTGACAGGTCTAATTTCAGCAGTGGACTCAGATATTGACGACTGAATGTGAACAGATGGGAGCCATTACCAATATTAGTCCAGCCTCCGTCTGCTGTGTCTTGGAAAACATTTGTGTTGCTGGTAGCAGCACTTGGGAGAGATAAGAGAGAAATATAATAGACACACTCACACACGTTAAAGCCAGAAATACCCTGAAGACCACAGATGGAAAAGAAGAGACAAATCTGAGTCAATCAAAGGGTTTTTAAAATAAAGAACGAACACTAACCATCCTGACGCTGAGACACTGAGTCTGCTGCAATCAAATGTAGAAATACAAACAAGTGGATAACAATTTTCAGAGCAAATGCCTAGACTTACAGTCTGGGGGTGTTCATAGCTTCCAAACAACCCTGGCTTTTTGTATGTTTTACTCTAAAAGTTCTCTACAGTGGTAGAGAGAATTACAAATTGCTTCTTCCATCATTTGGTGGAATGAAACCCCCTGCAAGGCAGGCATGAACCCTACCATTACACCAAACTGGACCCCTCACATCACCTCACAACACTTGTACACAAGATATAGTTTGATTTTTTTTTTTCCAAATCAGGTCCTTTTCTTCTTGTATATCTACTATTTCTATTTCTGTCTTATTTTTTTCAACATTTTAAAATCTTGTTGCAATTTCTACATTTCCAAAATAAAGTATATTTGCATGATTTATAGCAATAGACATGGATTCCTAGGTTAATACTTAAAGATTAGTCAGCTTGACAAGAATAATATTTGTACCACTGGAGTGTTTTTTAAGCAGTCGTTGGGACTTGGTAAGATATAACTCCAAAAAATAAAATAAAAAACTGTTTATCTAATCATTTTTTGTTGACATCAAACAAATCTAGATTCCCACTATGCAGCTGCAGCTGGAGCTCACGGTCCAAAAAAAGTACTGCATATCTCACAGGCTGACTGAAAACCTGTCATGGTTTGGTGCTGCATTTTAGCAAGTAAGGGTTAGCTTGAAGACAGCAGGTGCATTACAAGGCCAGCTTTGGGACATAAAAACAACTGTAGCTCAAGGCATATTAATAGCGTTGGTACTGCAGCTAAGGCCTGCAGTTTGTACCACATGACAGGTAATATGAGGTAAAACCTCCCATTGATTTGTACCATCTCTATTCAGTTGCTAGTCAACAACAAAAAGCCAAAACATAATGGGCATGACGCCTCTCTTTTATAGTCTCCACAGATCCTTACAGCTATTTTAGCTTCTAATCAATAATAACCTTGTAATTCTTTCTAAAGTGCACATTTTCTCCCCAGGCTGCACCCTGTTAAAACATTACAACCTGAACTTTTTATTTACTTTACAATTCACTTGTTTTCACACACACCCTCACTCACACACACACATACCACCCGTTGATTAATGTTTGGAGCAAAGTAGCAAACAAGTTCAAATTCCAAACCCCTGCTGTTATGTGTGTAGATGCAGGAAGAGGAAATACTTCTTAGACTGCGTTTGTTTTTCTAGATCATTGCATTTTTTTTAAAAACAGTTTTTGTCTGTCAGTTACTTCTGTGTATCTCACTCAATCAAATCTAACCATTTTCCTAGTTGTTTGTTTTTTTTATTTCTGGGTGGGGTTTAAGTAACACATTAGACGACACTAACTATTGGCTAAATGCTTACAGATACAGGAAGATAACAGATTAATTTATTGTTTATACACATACTGTGTTGCAAATATCTATTTTTGTTAAAAGATAATACCAAATAATAACAACAAAAAAGACATTAGTCAACATCAATTGTTTCCAAAAGGGTTGGTACACTTACTAAACATGCCACATAAGATAGAATTTGAAGTTTGGTAACTAAGAGAAACCTGTTTTAATAGACTAAGGTGCAATCAGTTGAGGCAAAATTAGACTGAAAAGATCAAGTAAGTAATAAAATGAATTGTTCACTGATAACTGGTCTAGGTCATGACTGGGTGCATCAACTGAAAATTAGGTAAGAGATTGCATGTTCATTTTAAATGAAAGCATCAGCAAAAGAAGGTTTTATGTTTAAATACTTTAAACACATACAGGATAAGGCCTTAAACAATAGGAATAACTTCTCAGACATATTGTGTTAAGTACACAAATGTCCGTGGTCTGTTCAGTGACAAAAATCACTCATCAATCATTGTCAGAAATATCTGTGTCTGTGTGTGTTTGTGTGTAGGCAGCTCTGCTGGGACTGCAGACAAAGGGCAGCGCTCTATCATTGTCACACACCTGTGGGCTTTTGTCTCTGGCTCCGTCACCCGCCACTCATGCCCAGCGTGTTAGCCTCTCTACAGTGGACAGGAGCCCATCAGCTTTAGTTTTGGCCCATCCCAGTGGGCTGACAGTTGTGTGACACACAAAACAGAAGCGAGGCACACTCTCACAGAGATAAACACAAACACAACTCACCTCTCCAACGCACATGAGCAGAGCTGCCCACATTTTCCCCGACAGCAGAAGTGACGAATATGAATAACCCTCTGGCTCAGTCTTCTGCAGGCTGTGCCATTTTTGTACTGCATTCAAGTCCTCAAGATGTCAACACGGAGACGGGAGGGCAAACTGAGAAACAAATTTGACAACACAATGTGAGTCTGCAGTCAGCTCAGTGGGCATTAGGTGATGATTGAGGGCAAAAAAAAAACCTGGCCTTGTCTGGTTTACAGCTTATTTAGAAAAGTAGTTCCAAACAAGAGCTAAACCTGTTTAACCAATATTCAAACATTTTGTCTTTATTTATTCATCTTTATTTATGGATTAGTATGTTATTTAACTATAACTACAGTGACTGTTACAGATTTCTGATCATTCTGGTTATACGTTGCCCTGTTTGAATTTGTGACTGTTTTAAGCCTTTTCTTAGTCTTTGTAGTCTTGTAGACATGTTTCTCATGTTTAGGCTTTTTTTTAAGTCATTTTTTATTCAAGTTATTTTTTATGTATTTTCTTCCTTTGACCAACTGTTAGTTTTCTCCTTTGTAGGTACATTTCAACGTGCTCTATATTTTGATAAGCACATCTTGGCTAACTTCAGTACAGCAACAGAGCATTTGGTGGATTGAAAAGTTTGCATCACAAGTGTCTGGTCTTTCAGCAGACTTGCAACGACAGCTTGCTGAGAAGGTACAGATTGTGGAAGGTTGGAAACGATGGCAGGAAGATCGTCCTCTAATCCAATTCAGTGGCAGCTATTTGAATAATTGATGTGGGGACATAAATTGGTCCGTTCCAGATGTCCCTAGCTCCTTTAATCAATACTGATTCCCTTAATCAATGGTTGGCCGGCCAGCTTGGGGCTCTGGCTGTTACACATAGAGTACACATACAGACACATACGGCTAGGATGCAAAGAGATGCCCTCAGTCAGAATCACAGCTGGTTGGCTGTAAAGAGGCTGTTTGCAGTGATAGGCTGTGGGTAATTGAGGTTTCTACCCAGGAGCAGTGGAGTTGGTGGGAGCCACAGTGTGAACTGCAGATTGTTCTGGAAAAAGGTTTACAATAGGGAAAACGACAGAGAGATTCCTAAACTGCTTTGAAAGGAAAACATTGCCGTGTACACAGAGACTTACTCTAGAGACGCCTCTAGCCAAATAGCTCAAAAAGACAAAAATGAACCTTGGATCCTTCATTTATGTCACACAAATCGTGTTCAGATTACAAAGTTTTAAAAAATCAAAAAATAGTTACATTGAGGGCAACTGGATGGAGTAGGTTTCAAGAGACCAACTCCATCCAGTTGCCCTCAATGAAACTATTTTTGTATAAGATGACCTGGATGACTGAGAATCTACAGAGACTTTTTTTTTTAATTCCATAGTTGCTTATTTTCTAAAGGCATTTTTTGTTGAACATTTTTCATACTTTTTTTAAACAAAATTTGGACTATTTTATTTCAGCTTCCCCTATAGTTTTCCTTTAACAAAATCTTTCTAACCATATGGCCCTAATGTAAAAACAACCTCTGATTATGTTAAAGTAATGTTTTGTTATTTATTCCTTACAATCATCAACTTCAACAATCATCAAGATCATAAAGACTGTTTATATGTTAAATAAACACAGTACGATGACGGTGGGCCGAGGCATTTTAACACACCAGGACCGAGTGGAGAATGGAGGTGTGTGACAGGTGGACGGCCGGCTGGGGGACACAGATAACCCTCAGTCTGTAGGAACTGACAAAAACAGTCACATCCCTCCTCAGAGCAGTGGATGTGACTCCACCTGCCTCTGCACTCCGTCGATCCCCGTCACTCTTATCGTCCCCCTAAATGCCACTCTCTTTAAAGCTGCCTCTGCTTTTCTACCTTCACAATCCATACACTCCACGTTACACCTCACCTTTTCACCATCGCTGTCATACCTGTCTCTTTTTCACAAATACCTACCAGCTAACAGAACATATACAATTTAATCCAGAATTTTCTCTTTTTTGTAGGAAAATATTTTCAGTCAGTCAAAAATTCACAAATGTAAGCAGCTATTTTTATGCAATTTCTAGCACAATTTACAAGCTGATTTTGACAGCCATCTAGTCACTAATGTTAATATAGGCTTTAAGAAACATTACAAGTTATGCTTTTGCCAGTTCCTGCTTTCTGGTCCAAATTCATAAAATCTACTTTAAATCTGTGCATTATAGCTTTACATATGAGGTACATCTGAAATCATTTGACCTGCTGTAGTGCAGCAACCAGATATAATGACATACGTATGTAAACATGCACACTTGCACACAAACTGCTGGAAGACACAGACTTGTAAAAGTAGATAAGCTGTGTTTATGAAGTATATGTACAATATCGTACGCCTCTCTGCATTATGTATGCAGAGTTCAGCCTCCAGGCTCCCTTCTCAAACAACAATCTTGGCTCTGAAACACTGCTCAGAGCTGCCTGGCTCTCTGACAGCATCCTTGAAGAGGGCGTGTTGCCATAATCGATTTTCACAGCAATCACAGATCTGCACACAGCAACCTTGAACAAGTCCTTGAATACAATCTTTCTTCACTGATCAAAAGCCATCAACAGAGAGTGAGTAATGAATTGGTTGTTTATGTGTGCTTTTAAGAGAAGAATGACAATGACAACCATTTGTCAATAGCCCTGTCGTGGTCATGGCTGTTACTCTTTAGTTTGATGGGATGAAAAGAAGCTACATTATGTCTAGTTGTCAGCACCAGCAAACATCAGCTATAAATAACATCTGAACCAAGACGATTTTTTAGAATGGATGTGAGTTTGATTAGGTGACAAATGCGGGACCAGAAGAAAAGACTTAGAATGATAGTGTGGAAGAAGGATATATTGAGTAGTGATTTAAGAGAAAGTGGAAAGGACTTTTGTGCGTTTGTAAACAAATAGCTCGACCCTAATGTTACCTATTCAGGACATGTTTTAAATGCATCTGACATATCTAGGAGTCTATGACTACAAATTCTTCCGGTGTTATTATGTTAACATGTGGCTGAAATAGCACCACATATAGGCCTGCGGCATACGTACTACAGTGACCACAGTTGTATTCGGCGGCTCGGTTTAAACACCCCTTATCCAGAGGCACTGTACTCGTATCGCATCGCAGCCTTTATCAGCACTACATATTTCCACTCAGTAACAGTTAGTAATAGATTGTTATAGTATGATTCCTGTTTATTCGTTCAGGCGATCCTTGGATATGCCACCATCAAACATTAAAGAATGTGTTTCCCTGTGTCAAGCTTGATTTCAAACTTAGATTTTACTTCTTACACCCTAAAAATATGGTTGAAGTTTGCTGCTTTGTGAGGAGGTACAGACATGGCGGTACAATAAGTGTTGTGAGATTCTCACTCACTGTCAGCATCCGTCTGTTTGCTTTACTGTGCCAACACTGTGGTGCTGGTGGTGGGGCGAGATATACAAGCATTTTGGTCAAAAAAGGCACATTAAAAATGAATGAAAGCATTGAGCAGATCACACAAAGCTCTCGGAGGCAGCCAGGCCATTTATACCTCTGGTTGGAAAAGATCACCACTCTCCCTGTTACATATCTGAGCATAACAAGATAATATTTAATCCCCTGCTGCTGTGAGACCGAAACACAAACACGCCACTAATGAGCCAAGCAATTAACTTCTAAACATGCAGCAAAACTTTGTCACCAGGGAGACACACAGACCTGCTGTCTTTGCACAAGGCAACATTAATGATTGTTCTCTTGCTGCAATCAGTCTAAAGAGGAGAGGGGGGGCGAAAGCTGGCGGACAAGGTTTTGGGGGTTCAATCTGCTAATCGATCATCCTGACACAGGTGTTGACAACCTGTCATTGGGGCGGTGACGGCGTTATGTGCAACAGAAGTGAATATGACAGATCTGCTGTTGATTTTGACTTTTAATGGGCCCCGAGGTCACACTGACAGCCAGCCGGCGTGTCATTCGGAGGTCCAGAGGTCACAGTCTGGTCCAGCCAACATACACAGTGGCGCTGGTGACCAGGAGCCTCATTTCAGAGTGTATGTCTGTGCTATGTCGTGTGCAGATGGAGGGGGGGCTGTCTGTAAGGAAAAAGAACAGACTGACAGAGCAGAGAGGGAAATGTGTGGGTTTTTTAAATGTCACCTTGCCTTTGCCACCTTTTTACACTGAGAGAAATTACAGTGTGAAAAAGCATCCGGAGAAGGAGAAGGTAGCTTCAGGACAGAAGAAGGAATCTGAGTCTCCTCATTACAAGGTCTTCAAAGCTCGTGTTAAAGTATGAGGAAAAAAAGATTTCTGGGGGTTTCTGCCATGGCCTCAACCTCAGCAACATCACTGCAAAAAATCAAATTTGAAAACTAATTTGTGTCCATAAAAATAAATATGCAGAGCTGAAAATTCAAAAAGTTATATTAAAATTAAGAAATGATGGATTGGATTTTAAGAAAAAAAACAACAACAAATAAACACACATATAGCATAAATCTAATAAAAATAAGGAGATGATAGTTTTTTTGTCCTAGATTTTATATATCATAGATTTATAGAATATAGGGAATTCTTTTGGATTTCTTATTTTACTTTCAAATCTTTTTCTAAAAGCTAAAGCTCATTGGAGTTAAATGTGATAGTGCTACATGTAACTTGTAATGTAATTGTAATTTCTCCTATGTAATTTCTCCTATATTCATCTTAAAATAGAAACATGACCAATTACGGTAGTTTCCAAATTATTCATTGTTGTTTCTAGGTACAGAACTAACATTCAGATTTTGCTCCTATCATTACAGAGTTAGTGTTTTGTCTTTCTGTAAAATACACAGCAGATAATTGATGTGATCACAATCGTCAAGTAAAAAAAAAAACACCACATGTAAACTTCACTTTCAACTTCTAAAATATGCATCACATTACAAGTCGATTTTTAAAAAGTGTATAAGTACATAGATGTCTATGTTGCCTTAGAGAGGACCCTTAACTGGATATTTAACATGAGAGGTGCAATGTAAAGTACAGCCATAGAAACACAATGAAATAAAACAAACATGACAAACTGGACACCTAATCAATACTATTCAAAGAGTTTGCACACAAACCAACCAT